ATGATTGTGGTACGAACACTTTTCATATATACGCACACGCAGAAACACATCTCCGTGTTCATTCGTTTTAGGCATGCGCATAAACGGAATTTTCTCCCACAATTGTAATGTTCAAGATTAGGGAATAAAAGCTGGCAAAGTGATTGTTCGAATGTGTACGGGACGGTGTCGTCACATACTGTCCATAGTTGTGCCGATGATTTTCGATGAGGTACAGCTCTCCAATCAGAGGTAATGAGGTATGCTTTTGTCTTCTAAATTTCCCTCATCAAGCATGCAGGGGAAAATTAGAAGACAAAGAAATCCTTTGTTTTCAACTAAATTTACCGGGTAAATTTAGAAGACAGTATGCATGGGTAATGAGGTAAATTAGTGATTAATCGTACCTCGCGAGACAAAGGATTTCGAGGCAACTATGATATTACTTATATTATACTATTTATAGCGGTAAAACCAGTGATTTGTTTTGACAAGACAGCCCACCTCAAGGGTCTAATGTAAGGGCTGGCTCACCTCCATATAAACACCCCATTAGAAGATTTCAAAGTTAAAATTTATTTTGAAAATATCTCTTCTGAGGGATAAAACCTTCAAAACTTTATTGTTGACAAAAATTTCAGGTAGACAGTATCCAGGAAAATTGCCTTTTCAAATTGTAAGGCCAAAATTATGTACATAATTTCAGTAATAAATAAAATAAACAACTTTAACAATGAAAAGTGAGAGTCTTTATGGATATAGTGACAAACGTTGATGCAATAAAGAATAATAGATTAATTCCTAATTATTTACAAACGTGTACCAGTACCTTTTGCATTTATATTGTGAAAAAATATCTATATTTTTATTTCATTTCTGTATATTTTTCTCAGAAGAATGATAACAAACTGCGTAATACTGCGTGCAACCCCCCTGCTAAGAGACTTGCACTAGTACAATAACTGTATATAACATGAAGTTTCCTGAACAAAATGGCGGAAATTTTAATAAAAAATGTTGATGTTTGATCGTAAAATACAAAAAAACTGCAGGTCTGTGCGAGTTACAACAACTGAATTCGTACTCAGCGTATCAAAATCTATAGATTCATGTAAACTAAAAGTAGACCCCGAATGGGGGCAACGAAACTTGTTTTCTAAGCGACTTTTGGGGTCACAGAATACGGCCTATATTACCGACAAAGACCCCCGAATCGTATAGTCAATTGAACATATTAAATATGTCAATAATTTTATTCGATCTAAAAGTATAAAAATATAAAACTAATGTAAGTAAAGTATAAATGGTACATACGTGTTTTTTCTCAGTAACTTACTTCTTGGCGAGTCTTTGAACAATCCTCTTTAACAACAAATAATTCGTCCGATATATCTAGTGTGTCCGATATAGTTTCAAGTCGCTATTACAAACCTTATAACACATGTTTTATTTCCCGCGTCTTAGCATAATTAAGAATGGCTAATCTGAATATATTACATAAATAAATATACATTACGTCACTGTTCGCAACATTCTCCCCCGCCGATGACGACGTCGTCATCGCCATATCCTTTGTTAGGGTAGATCACTGCAATCTTCGTAACTGGCCTTCAGTATTCTCCAGTAGGGGTCTTCAATGTCACGTTTCGCACTTTGCCATCAGATCCGGGATGTACTTTTGTGATTCGTCTGATAGTCCATTTTCCTCTTACAGCATTTGTATCCACTGTCATCACCACGTCGTTCACTTGGATATTTCTACGATCTACGCTCCACTTCTTTCTTGGGATAAGTGACAGGAAAACATCGGTTGTCCATCTGACCCAAAATGAATCTACGATTCGCTGCACAAATTCTACACAATCTCCGGGTCGTTTGGAATATGGCCAATCGGTCGCTGATTAACCAGATTAGCAATTTCTAACAAGCACGTGTACAACTCAAATGGTGTTAGTACTTGCTCTCCGATTGCTTTCTTTAACGCGTATTTACTGCTCTTCACCAAAGCTTCAGAGACCCCGTTTTGGTGCGGCGCTGCGGGTGTTATAAACTGCCATACCATTCCATTTTCAGCACAGAAATCACGAAGTGTTTTGATGTCCCAACCTTGTATCATCTCTCGTAACTCTCTTGAAGCACCAACTAACTGGGTTCCATTGTCACCGAGCATAAATGTTGGACATCCTCTGATGGAGAAAAATCTTCTGAGAACTGGCATGTAACTCATCGTGGAATAGTCGACAGCCAATTCTAAATTAATTGCTCTAGTGTTGAGACACGTAAAGATCACTCCATAGTGTTTTGCTGCCTTGTTTCTTCCGACTTTCACTGTGTAAGGGCCAAAGTAATCACAAGAACTATAATAAAACGGCGGCGTCTGGGGTGCTAGTCGTTTTTCCGGGAGATCTGCCATCAGTTGAGTTTCTAACTTGTGTTCCGTTCTTTTGCAGAATACGCATTTGTGTTTCACTTTCTTAGCCAGATTATGCGCTCGTAGAATCCAAAACTTTCTTCGAATTTTGGCAGTGGTTGAAGCGATACCAGAATGTCCTCGTTGATGCATGTGACGCGTTATCAATAGGGATACCCAATGTTTGTATGGCAACATTGCGGGATGCTTGCAGTCGTAAGTCACCATTGCTTTGCTCAAACGACCTCCGACTCTGATAATTCCTTCATCTACGAAAGGGCTAAACTGCTTCAATTCGCCATTCTTTATTCAGCTGTGAATACCTTTCTGCGCTTGTTTGTTTTACACTTCAGCCTTGTACAGGTCATTTGGGGTGAGAGTTCCGTGATTTTCTGTTTCGATGGTTGCGTTACTTCCTTCTCGCTTGCTTCGTACTTTTGCTCCGAGTTTCTGTATTCGAGCAGTTACTCTTACTAGTTTTCGCCAACTTGCAAAGTTCGTACAACATATCGCTTCTTTCATAGTGCTTACGGTGCAAACAACTGGTATTTTACGACGTTCCGTGTTTACTTCTTTCTCTTCTACTGCAGCTGAAATGGTTTCAGGCCATTGATCTTCTGGGTGGCCAAGAAAATCGGGTCCGGATTTCCATCTTTGAGTTAAATCTTGCACTGATATGCCTCTAGATACGTCATCTGCTACATTCACTTCTCTGGGGATATGCTTCCATTGGAGTGGATCAGAATTGCTTTGAATTTCTCCTATTCTGGTCGACACAAATGTTTTGAATGATCTAGCTTGCGAGCGAATCCATGCCAACACAATCATGCTATCCAGAAAATATACGACTTTCTCAAATTGGAATCTGGATTCTTCTGCGATTGTTTTCCCTAGACGTGTAGCCAATACTGCTGCCTGCTACTCTTGATTTTGCTGTGATAAACGTAACACCAAACGTGCTGTCCCCCGAGAGGCCATCTACTGTAAGCACAAGTTCCAAATGCTTCGATAGATGCATCCGAGAATACACACAGAACTGTGTTTCCAAATGCGTTGAGAGGAGTCAGACATCTTTCAATCGTAACACCGTTTAACTCTTTCATTTGTGCGAACAACTCCATCCACTTGTTGTGCTCATCTACTGGCAACTGTTTGTCGCAATCTACTGCTTTCTGCCAAAGATGTTGCATTCCAATCTTGGCTTTAACAATAAAGGCAGCGGCAAAACCGAGTGGATCAAATATGCGAGCTATTTGACTCAAGATCATTCATTTCGTTATCCGTTTTCCTTGGATTTTCTGTTCAGCGGCTTGTTCAGAATTCAAGAGTTCAACATTAACTTGGAATGTGAAAACATCCTTCAAATGATCCCAAACAAGTCCCAGGACCTTTTCAGCGGTCTTGTTTGTAAGTAATGTCATTCCGGTCGAACTGCTTCCGTCTTGATTCGAGTTATCTTCAGTAAGAAGATGATTTGATGCCCAGCCTTTAACTTTAAAGCCTCCTGAAGCCAATACTTTATCTACGTCAGTAGTGAGTTGCTGTGCTTTCTCAACGTTTGGAACGGAATTGCAGATGCCATCGACGTAGCTATTCTCGAGGTTTTTGCGGCTTCCGGATTGGTTTCTCTTGCTTCTTCTGCTGTTTTACGGAGTGCAACCTGAGCCATAGCTGGTGCTGGCTTGTTGCCGAACGTAAGTACGGTCTTTGTGTAGACGTCAGGTTCTCTGTCCGATTCTCTGTCCGATGTACGTCTTGGTCTTCTTTAGGAATCAACACTTGATGATACATTTTAGAAATGTCTCCACTGATTGCAACTTCGTTTTCTCTGAATCTTAACACAACACCGAATAAGTTATTTAGCAAGTCCGGTCCTTTTGAACCAGTAATCATTGAGCTTGTGTTCGTGGTAACTATAGCTGACGAGTTAAACACGATACGAACGGTGTACTTGTCTTCTCCGGTCTTACTACCTCGTGATGAGCGATGTAATGTACTGGACCTTTGTGGTTTGTTGAATGATAATAATATTTATTCAGGAAACCAACATCACAAGAAGTGTTTTTCAGATGGTTCCTGCAAAACATTAAAATACAAAGTATAGAAAATATATATAGTGTGCGTGCAGTTTTTGCTTTCCCCAGTTTGTCTTCGGCTTACAGAGGTATATATCATCTCTGCGTCTTGTGTTATATATGATTAGTTTTAGGCAGTACGAGATTAAACTCTGTTAAATTATTTTTTAAATTTATATATGGTTAGTATTCGGTGTGGTTTGCGTCGGTGGGCAAGTGGATGCCAGTGTAATTTGTTGAGGGCTTCAGTGGATGAGGATAGGGAGCGTTAAGAATGGTCTTTGCAGCCTTATTCTGGAGAACTTGTAGTTGATCCATTAAGGAGGAGTTATTCTTGTCACCCCATATAATATCTCCGTAGTCAAATAGTGGAAGAATAAGAGCGTTGTAGATGATAAGTCTAGTTTTGAGTGGAATGAAGGTTTTAATTCTTCTTAGCAGTCGTATGCATTGGTTAATTTTTGTTGAAATATTATTTAAATGGTCAGACCAAGTGAGATTTTCTGAGAAAGTTATACCTAGATATTTAAAAGTACGTTCACGGGCAAGTTGATGTTCGTTGACATGTATGGATATATTAGTGAACGACTTCACACGGCTGTTACTACCAACCAGGACGAACTTAGATTTTTTGCAGTTCAATGTAAGTAAGTTTTGATCAAGCCACTGGGAGATCAAGTTAAGGTCCTCGTTTACATATTTCTCAATGTCACTAGCTGATTTGGATGAGTAGTATAGAAGAGTGTCGTCAGCGTAGAGTAATATCTTGCAGTGTTTAACAATGTTGGGCATATCGTTGATATAAATAATGAAGAGAAGTGGCCCTAAAATGCTTCCTTGTGGAACCGCCGACTGACACAGGTAGAGAGCTGGACAGCGTATTGTCGATGGATGTTACTTGTTGACGAGAGGAAAGGTAGGAATCGAACCAATTTCGGGAATTGTCATCCAGGCCAACGGATTTTAATTTACACAACAGAATAGCATGGTCAACAGTGTCAAATGCTTTACTAAAGTCCAAGAAAACAGAGGCAGTAATCAGACCGTTATCAGCGTTTTCAAGAATGTTGTCGGTAAAGAAAGCCAAAGCAGTGCTGGTTGATAGTTTAGGTCTAAAACCAAATTGATTAGAAGTTAGGATTTTGTTTTCGGTTAGGTAGTTGTAGATTTGTGTGTGAACAAAACATTCCAAAATCTTACTTAGGGTTGGCAATACTGTAATAGGTCTGTAATTTGACATGTTCGAGCGCTCCCCAGATTTAAAGATAGGTGTGACTGTACCGTTTTTCCAGATTTGGGGGAAAGTAGAGGAGCTTAGCGATCGGTTAAATATTTGGGTTAGCGATGGGGCGATGACTACAGCAGCATCTTTTAATAGTTGAGCGGTGATACGATCAAGACCGGTGGATTTAGTTTTGATAAATTCTTGAGAACAGACGTAATTTGAATCTCTTGGAATTTGAAGGTTGAATTGACTCCTGGTGGTGGATTTCCAGGAGACCGGGATTGCGTACATTTTTGTTTGATCGCATTTGCCAAAGTTATTCCAATACTGGTAAAAAATTTATTGAATAGAGATCACATGGATTTTGTGTTCTACACCGTCTGTTATAATTGAACTTGGAGCTGAGGATTTTATGTTGCGGGATGTCAACTCATTCAAAGTTTTCCATAGACCAGAAAGATTGTTTTTATTTGCTTTTATCAGGTTTTCGTAGTATTGGGACTTACATTCACACACTTTTTTGTTTACGAAGCAGCGGTATGCAGACCAGTTTGTTTTTGAATTTTCTTGATCGGCGCGTGCAGATCAGCTATGTCAGTAAAACATTTGCACCAGTTGTCAACGGCAGCATTAATATCGTTATCATCTACTGCAGCAGACCAATTGTTATTTCTAAGATCTTGCAGGAAAGACTCTTTATTGTAGCATTTGTAAGAGCGGTATTCACTTAAATATACGCGGCGGGGCTTTAGGAACACCAGCTTTAAAGATGCAAAACACGAGAGAGTGGTCACTCAACGCACAAGGAATCACAGCAATTCTGACAATTCTCTGAGTATTGTTAACGAAAATCAAGTCAATTGTGGTTTGTGATGTTTCTGTGATTCTTGTGGGTTCTGTGATTAGTTGGTCCAGGTGGAGCTGGCAAGAGAGATTATTCAGTAATCGTTTGAAAGGAGATCGATTGTTCTTGCTAAGGTCAATGTTAAAGTCACCCAGCAAGATAAACTCGCTGTTGTTTGGAAGTTTGTGGATGACGTTTTCCAATTCGATGATGCAGTTTTCAACAGGGTTGTTTGGGGCTCTGCAAGCGCAACACATAAACAGTTTTTTAGCCTTAGGTCGTAAAATTTCAACCATACTGTTTTCCAAGGTATTATTCATTAGGTCCGATTGGGTTTTAAAAGGTAAACCATCACGAATGTATATAGCAGTGCCACCACCGATTTTTCCATGACGGTCCATTCTGACAATTGAATAGCCAGGTATAGCTACTTCGGAGTCTGAGATACTTGATTTAAGCCATGTTTCAGAGATTGAGAAGACTTCAAATGGATTATCTTTCACTAGTAATCGGAGAGAGTCTATTTTTGGCAGTATGCTTCTTGTGTTTAGGTGGGAGATCTTTAATCCACGTACGTTAAGTTAATAAGTTTTGGTATTGAGAAGTTGCGGACGGGACCAGGGTTAGTGGAGACGTCATTTGATAGAGATATAAATGTCAAAGAAATAGAGAAATTCATTGCGATGTGAAGTCCACGGATTAGTTTCAAATTTGACGACAGCGGCTTATGTCCTGTAGGGCGACGGGGATTATGGAGATGAGAGTACTCTTTCATGCTAGGATTCGACATTAATTGAGATGCATACAAAGTTCTATAGTCAAGAGATTCTGGTGTGGCATGGGATGCGTCTCTGCTTAAGCTAGATAGGTAGAGGTATATATTTAATACTAGAAGTTACTATCGCAAGGAAAATGCTGCCTCAACCCGTCTTCCATCACACAAGCACGTAAGGCACCCTTAAGACACCAGGAGGTAGGAAAAGGGCAATTTGAATACGAAAACAGCTTGCACAAAGTCGAAGGTCAGCTAGATATTCTAATCATAAAGATTATAAATAACACTAGAAGAGGCATTGAGGTTAAAAATTTGGGAACCCGTCTATTGGGGGGGGGGGGGCAAATGTAGGTCCTGGATATAAAATCATGCTCTCGCCAATGGGAACACAAATACACATGCAGGAATTTGCCCCCAATAACAGGATTCATTTTTTGCCTAATGTCAAGATTGCGATGCCTCCTCTAGTGTTATTTATAATTTCTATGATGCTATTAAATCCTATTGACTTCCACAAATTCCTTACTCTTCAAGAAATTACTTCCTTCAAAATTCCTTCGTTCTAAAAAAAGGAAGGACTTTGTGAAAGTCTACAGGTCATGCTATGCACATTTTTAATGATTTGCATTATTCAGATAGATGCAGGTTTATTGGCAATTTTAGCATGACCAGTTGTCATGGCTAGCTTGCCACTGAATACTGTACAATAACATGTATAACAAACAATAATACTTGAATGAATCATTGGATATGTAGAATTTAATTAAAATTTCATACATAAAATACTACCAGTAAGGACCTGTTCATATGGGCAAAAGTTATCCGTGTTAGCGAGAAAACTTTTCAACAAGTTTACAAGCGAGATCTCACCTTGGTATGAAAATAATATGAAAAGTTACATTGCGTTCATATGAGACAACAACTTTTTCCGTGTACCGAGATCTCGGTGACCGGGATAATGTTTTTCCCATATGAACACAACTTTCCCGCTTAGCGGGATAACTTTCTGTTGTGTCAGCAACTTTTCAATTCAATTCATGTTCAGCACTACGTCACAGCCGGAAACTTTACCCGGTAAGCGAGGTAAAGTTTCTCCATGTGAACAGAACAAAAGTATTTGGCTAGTCGAAAAGTTTTCTCCTTAGGCCCTGTTCACATGAATCCAGGACAGCGTTATGTCTTGGGGCAAGCAATTGTCGCGGGACAAAAATTGTCTTCTATGAAACAATAGTGCTGTTCGCATGATATTTTACTTGTCCTGGGACAAGAATTGACCCGAGTGCCTCACTTCTGTAGACAGGGACACTCGCCTTGCTGGGACAACTTTTCCTCCTGTGAACACTGTCCCGGGATAATTGAATTTTGGTGAAACGATCAAAATCTCGGCTAAAATTACATTTAGAGCACGTTGGACTCCACAAAAACTTGTTATATGATTGACAATATCATTAGAAATCTATAAGTGATGATTCTAAAAATATTGAAATAAAATTGTCGCTAATATCATGTAGTATGTTACTCAAAGAATTTGATCTGGTCAACCAGAAACAATGAATTGAGCACATTTTATTATGGCTGATAATCAACTAGTACATTCTATTTGTAAATATCATAACAAAAAATAACGACTTGCATTTATCAGAACGTTTTTTATTTAGCAATATTTCACCGTTTCCTGTTGGCGGGAATAATTAATGATTCCCGCGTAATGTATTTATAGGCATGACCCGCGCTAGCTTTGTTCATGTGAACAGAAGATATCAGTACCCCGGGTCAATGACTTGTCGCGGGGCAGTTGTTTATCCCGGGATCATGTGAACAGGGCCTTAAACCGAGATAACTTTTGCCCATATGAACAGGCCCTTTGAAGTCAGTTTTGTCCCAACTACTGTATCATTTTAATGGCACCTTCAAGGCTATCCCTACTGTAGAACAACTGAACAATGAATCTGCCAATCGGGAGACAAAATCTATTTTGTTGACATTTTTGTTTAATACATCCGCTTCAGATGACCATTATTTGTAATGACTATATATATAATAAGGAAGAAATTGTGAGCATTATTGTATACAATTGTGTGTTCCAATGTGGGCATCATACTGCTGCTCGATTTAATAGTAGTCATCGCACCAGGAAAATAAATCAATTGCAAATGGCCACTATCGAAATTGTCCCAGGTCATGACTATTAAGACCAGTATTTCTCGCAGGCATCAAGCCTTGAGACTTCATTATGCATAAGTTATTTGATATACAGTAAAGCCCCACCAGTAGGTTAAGAACCACTATAGTCTGAAATTTTGGCAATTAAGCACCCAAAATACAAGTTTTTAAAAACTTTTTAAGTTTGGATATATGTCACAACAACCATATTAGTGTCATAGCAATACTTTTATGCAACAACAGTTCCTATTTAATATGTAGAATATAAAAAAGTATTGTGTGAAGTTTCAAGTCAAAATTCACAGAACTTTTATGCGGGGCTTTACTGTATATCATAATCATTTTACTGTAATGGCAATTTTCTTATTGACACACAACCTATATATATTTGTAACTTTTGATATACAATACCTTGATGACTTGATCTTTTGACAACACGAAACAACTTTATTATTGCCAACGATTGCCCAGCTAGCGAGATCACACTTCGCTAGTATAAAATATAAAAATATAGCGAGTTCACACTTTGCTAGTATAAATATTATAGCGAGATCACACTTCGCAGTAGCAAGTAGCGAGCTCACACTTCACTGCTTTTGAAACATATAAAATGAACGGTCCCCTTTGATTTGATTTGACCAAAATATCCCCGCGAACACACACCAAAATATAAAAATGTTGTAAACGTAGTACAGTCGATGTATATATTAACTGCTTCATATTTAATACTGTAGACAGAAATGTTGTATATGTAAACTCGTATGTAAATACAGTCGATGTATATTACTGTAAAACCTATAGCAATTCAAGATAAATATAAACATATAACATTTCAGGATAACTTACTTTGAAACGACAACCCAAAACGGAAAGAGTATTCGATATTTTTTGAAAAAATGTTGTATTAAACTTGCCAACCACACCACGAGACTGATTCGGGAAGAAACCGGAAGTTATGCACTGAAACGAATCATACGCCACAAAACGTCATCAATCCATTGTTCTAAAATCTCGATTTTTTCTCCCTGTCTCCTCCACATAACTTGCGGAAAGCCTGGGACCGACAGAATTAGTATGCTGCCTCTACGAGGCAGCAATAACCAATAAGTGAGGATCAATACAGCAAATGCCATTATAAACTATACGCCAGACAAAGGTCAAGGAAGGGTCAAGTTGCGTTATGTTCAAAATAGCAAGGGTGCCAAGCAATAAATTTAAGAAGTTTCCTAACCACGATGTTCTGTGGTTGACGGTAGTTCACGGATAGTGCAAAGGAGAGTGTTTAACAGTAGGATTGCGGATTACAGGATGTCAGTTGTATATATTTGAGCTTTTTAATAAACACGGGAAAATTTAAAGTGCTGTTACTAAGCGACGAATAACAAAGTTGTCCAGGCCAACGGTAAAAATATTTAGTGAGTCGATAGTTTAAGACTAACCAAGAATATATATGCCGGTAAGAAATTTGTACGAATGTTCCACCAGTAGACTTCAACTGAAGCTTTATATCCGTTCAGCAGCGTTATATTTGGTGTTGTATACAAGATTTCAGACAGCAATACTGAAGCCAGACAGTAATATACGTGGTCAAAGATAATCACTAAATAATAACACGATTACCAAGATATACCAAGAATAAAGTAGTCCAGATAGATCACAATGTTTTTACAAGAGCAACTGTATAAAAGTGGCGATTGAGAGCTTTAAGAATTAATATGTTTTATGTTTTTTTGCGCTACACTTAAAGTGTGTCCAACCTTGAAACCCGAAACCTAAACCTATATGATTGTTATTTCTTCCTTCGATACTTTCTAGCAAATTCAACTCAGTCATTTCGGTAGCCCGCGTGCAGGCCCAAGGGAACTGATAGTGGGCCTGCACGCAAGGCCCGGTATTTTGTAAAACGCCCCTTTTCATAACACGCCCCATTCGCGCGTCAATTGTCAAAAAAGAACCAATGACAGCACCCAAATATTAATAAACAAACTCGCATTAAATGTTACCGAATGTTACCGAAGTTCTCTGCATTTTTGTTGTTTTGCTATATTTTCCACTTTAAAAGAGTGATATTGAAGCATAAACTGGTCTAATTGTTTTAAAAACATGCCTAAGCCACGACAAAGTATTCAAGGTAAATGTTTTTCGTCTTTGTTTTGTATTTTTTCACATTTGTAGCTACGAAATTGGCATCACAAATTTTAATGAAATTTGTGATGTATTTTTCACTGTTTAGTGCTTGAAATATTTGCTAAAATTGACTGGGAATACTTAGAGTTTTCATCGTAGAATGGCGTGGTTACATTTATTTGCTCTTTGACTAAAATGTTTAGCTGTATTATTGCTAAACATGCCGTTTTTGAGAATTTGATTTTCAACTAGATTGAGGCATCCAACTACGCCATCAATCCCAGTAAAAACATTAGGTCACGTCAGCTAGTTTCCTATCCATTTATTTTATTATCCATGCTTCAAGTAAACAATAAACAGTCTGTTCTTGTTCCATTTATAATCGAAAAAAGTGATCAATTTTCGAATTTTGAACTTATCGAGAGCCTTAATTATAGAATCGACCTAATATGACCTAATTATAGAATCCAACAGCAAACAGCCAATCAGAATGCTGCGTTCGTGGGTGAACGCGGAAAGTACAAAATACCGGGCCTTGCTTGCAGGCCCACTATCAGTTCACTTGGGCCTGCACGCGGGCTATCATTTCGGTTATCTGCTTGTTATACTCTTTGGCGCTGGCGGGATCTTTTGTAAGGCAGCGTTCGGTGGCTTCTAGTTTCTTGAGTGCCTGGCTTCGGTTGTCTGGTAGCAAGTTTTTGTCCTTTTTCCACGGATATGAAACCATCCACTGATTTCCAACTCTTTCACACGAATCCTCAATGATCTTCTTTTCGCGTAGTTCGATTGGACTAAGCTTTTCGGGATTGCACTTACACGACTTCGTAGTAACACCCATTGCTTCCGTTGTCCAGAAGTCTGTCATGTCTACTGGATTTGTCAGCTGAACGTGCAACACTTTGTTAACTCTTCTTTGATATCCACTTGTTGCACCGAACACGACCCAACCGAGGGGTGACCGACGAGCGACTAGATTTTCAGCTTCCTTTGTCTCACCGGTATGCATCTTGGCATGATTAATTCCAATAAGTATGTCTATTGGACCGTTTCCTCGAACAATCTTTCTTCCTTCGAGACCCAGTTTCTCACTGACTTTACCAACCTCAACTGGGGCGACATTGTCACTAATGGACGGTATTCCTATAGCAGTAATATGATGAACACTATTGTTCTCGAGTGACAGTAAACTAACTTTGTATAACTTCGTATGGATCTCCTCTTCTTCACCTCCGACTTTAGTGATGGTTACATCCCCATCCTTTCCTTTCAACCTTAAATCTTTGGCAACCGAGTTTCGAATCAGGCTTACTTGTGCGCCAGAGTCCAATAAGATGTTAGCTTTCCTTCGCTTTCCTTCTTGACCGAGAACTTCCGCTTGAATAACTGGGAGCATACTTTCTTTGCCGTTGTTGACTGAAGCAACTCCAACTTGACTGGGTGGACTGGATTCATGCAGCAGGGGGTGGTGGTATGACTTGCATTGTTGACGATTTACTTTGCCTGTACACTGGCGTCTTTGTGAGCATGTAGCTGCTTTATGATTCTTGCTGGTTTTCTTCAAACATGAGAAGCAAGCACGATTTTCTCTTATCAGCTTCATTCGGTTCTCTGGACTCATACCTTCTAGCTTCGAACATTGATCGACCCAGTGCGTTGAGGTCTTGCACAACCAACACTTGTGCCTTTCGTGTTCTTCATGCCCGACATGGTTGACGTTCCATCTTGTTCTACCTTGGTTTCGCAGAGGGGCTGATGCTCTCATGCGGGACTTCATTTCTGTTGTCATCCACTTCATAATGTTTTCCAGTGTGGCTTCCTTTTTCTCTCTCTCGAGATCTCGTGCCCAAACCTTGCGATCATCACTTGACATGTTTTGCTCGATTAAACCTAACATATGATTATTGTTCATATCGTTGGGCCGACCGACTTCTTTAAGTGTGTTGTAACTTCTGTTAACTAGGTGGACCAGTTCACAAAACCGAGCGTCTTCGCCATCCTGAAGTGCTTTGAACTTGGATATGTCTTGCGTAATTGTGTCTGCTATGAATTGTGGATCTCCATAAATTGAGTCGAGATACTCCCATGCTGCTTTGTAATCACATCCTATACCCTTAATCAGTTCTAGTGGTTTTCCTTGAAGACTTGCCCGTAGTATTGTTATTGCATCTCTGTCGCTGTACTGTGATTCAACAACATGCTTGAAATCTGCCCGAAATATTACGTAGTCTCTTACATCTCCACTGAACTTCGGTAATTTCGGCTTTTCAACTTTGAACGCACACGATTTAACTTCCTTGTTACTGGTTGGACTCTCTGCATTATTATCCATTTGCTGTACTACCGGCTGGGGTGTCAGTTCCTGAACTGTTTGTTCTGTTTCTTCGGTAAGTTCTACCATCTTGAGAATTGCTATCTGTGTTTTGTTCTGGTATTTGATTCTCTATAATAACTGTGCCGGTATTTTCTCCGTTATTTTCTTGGGTTTCCTGTGTTTTCTTAGCTATATCATTTTCTGCGCACGTGTCTTGGGTGACTGTTCCTGTTTTGATTTCAAAATATAATCTTTCGCTCTGAATTTCAAAATTAATGTTTTCTCACGGCAATCTTCGATCCGCATTTTTCTTCCTTTGCAAATTATTCGTCATCGACCTTTTCTACTAAAGCCTCGTGCTTTTCTACGACAGTTTTATAGTCTATTTCTACTAGTTCTAGCGCTTCTGTTATCTTTTCAACAGGCCGGTTGTTTTCAATCATGCTGTATAAATTATTACTGCGACGTGTTAGCGAACTTTTCGCGTTTCTTCTGGCCTTTTTCGCATCCATTTTACAGCGAAACTTTATCAGCCTTTGCTGTGAACCTTTGGGACTCCAGATATAAACACAGAAATCGAATTTATGCTCCGTTGGGTTCGACAGAACTCAATATATTATCGACAAAGACCCGCGAATCGTATAGTCAATTGAACGTATTAAATATGTCAATAATTTTATTCGATCTAAAAGTATAAAAATATAAAACTAATGTAAGTAAAGTATAAATGGTACATACGTGTTCTTTCTCAGTAACTTACTTCTTGGCGAGTCTTTGAACAATCCTCTTTGACAACAAATAATTCGTCCGATATATCTAGCGTGTCCGATATAGTTTCAAGTCGCTATTACAAACCTTATAACACATGTTTTATTTCCCGCGTCTTAGCATAATTAAGAATGCTAATCTGAATATATTACATAAATAAATATACATTACGTCACTGTTCGCAACAGACAAATAAACAATTTATTAGGAAAATACGTTCAAGAAACGTCTCGTGCTGTACTAGGCTAATTCTGGCAAATGTTATTTACTTTCTTCACCTTCGTGCCGACGACTGTTGTTTGCTGATGGCCAAATCACGACAGCGGACATCAATTATTCAAAATATGTTCTTATAGCTTCACGTTTACGATACGAAACACGTTTTAATGTAAGATTATTTATTTTTTGTATATGTAGGTTCTAGTTGAAAGTGACAGCGACGATGAAAAAAGTGCACACAACATTGAAATATCCAGTTCACTACTAGCTCGAATCCTGCGACTTATCACTTGCTAGTAGCCCAGTCTCGTTTAACTTTGCCCAATCAAGAATCATCTCCTGAATCAGGCATACTGGCAACACTGGTTCATTTGATGTAAGTTTTTAAACTGGTATTTTAGATTATAGCCTCGCCGTCAAATGAGGATGAAAGTCATGCATGAATTGCTTATAATTATAAATACACATTTCAAGTTCCAGATTAACAAAATATTATTAAAGCTTTGATGAGTGTTCCAACTATGTTTCAACTTAATTAAAATACTCTCATCCTCGTTTGATCCATAATTATTTGTTGATTTTACTCGATACTAAATAGTGAAACATCGAATCCAGAGAAAATCTTATGCAGAACCCTAGGCTTATTAAGGATGAGATACAGAGAAAAACAGTAATGCAGAACTACATTCTCTTAAATTGTCAAAATTAAACGCTACCAATCTTGATCTCGTTTCAAACTTGAATAACAAAAAGTCTAAAAATATAAAAACTATAAGAACAGATCAGCTAAGTCCAGTTATAAAATTAAATGATGAAGGAAAGCTGTCATTTTAGGAAAGTGTTGTTTTGGGGTGTGTAAACTCATGAGGTTACATGTTTCTGGTGAATCTGTGCTTGCTGCAGCAAAAATGTATTAATCGTTTGTGATATAATTCACAAGATGTCTATTTTAACCTGTGGGTTGCCAAACTTCTTAAATATGGAATTTGTTTTGTCTGACCAAGATATAATGAATATACACTAGTGACATGGGTTATATGTCCAATTAATATTTAACTGCAAATAAATGCATGCAGCAACCCCTAGCCTATATTTTCCAAACATTGATTTAACATGAAGTATTAGAAATTGGCCAGCACTGAATGCAGGCTTACGTTGTGTCAAGTGTTGTCAAGGCAACATAATGTCACAATATTTTAACTTTTTTGAATAATTTTGCAAGTGTTCATAGCACAGAATCTACCATACATAATTTTAAACAAATAAATAGGTGAAGTAATTCGAACAAAATGATTTTGAACTTTATTACTCGACTCTGTCGAACGCCTATTCTACTGGTAAAGGCCGGGCCGGGGAGAGCGCTGGTGCTTAATGTGTTAAATAAGATCGTATAGTTATATGTATATCATGTATTATGTTTTTATGCAGTCTCCCTGAATCACTTGTACCAGGCTATGGAAATTCATGTTTCCAATTTTGTATTTATTTTACTTATGATATAGTATACTGTAAATTTGAATAATATTTGTGTGCTTATAGTGAGCTTATTTTTAGGAGAGTTTGTTGCGGGGCAGCATATATTTTGATATTTCAAAATATTACTGTACCGGGTGGCGCAAAAAAAAGTTAACCTGTTTGATTTGTTTTAACTTAAAAGCTAAAAGAGCTATTACATGTAAACTACGTGCATTGTATTCAGTATTGTCTAACTTAAATTTTGATATACGCCCTGTGCATTTTCGTGCAATATTGACCGAGAGAGTTGCGTTTAAACTTGAGTAAACATTTCTGAAAGTGTCGATAATTAGCCAAAAACGGCCTATCAAATATTTAATACAGCCATAACCTGTGCTTAGACGCACTATAGTCAGAAAGTACACGTTCGTTGTCAGAGACCTGCCCAACGTCGCCGGTATAACCTCACGAGCATTATTTACCCTTACATATTCTAAACATGTCAAAACTCTTTGGTCATTCGTTAAACGAGGCGTATTTATAAAAAAAAACAACACTTGACGTTTCTTTCTTGGAACATTAGAATTTAATTCCCCAGGGTCATTGGATATTTAGAATAAATCTTTTAATCAAAATCGCATTAATTTTTCGCGTAATTTAATCGCGTAATTAATTTTCATGCATGCATGCATTCCCAAAGACCTTAAACAAAAATAAAAGAACACCTCCATCCTATAAACATTTTTAATTTAAACTTCACTTCATTGAAACGAATATTTACGATAAAATGGTAAGGGTTATCAAATTAGTTTAACAGGCCGTTTTTAGCTAATTCTCGACACTTCCCAAAATGTTTATTCAAGTTTAAACGCAGCTCTCTCGGTGAATATTGTACGAAATTGTACAGGGCGTATATCAAAATTTAAGTTAGACAATACTGAATGCAATGCACGTAGTTTAGGTGTAATAGCTCTTTTAGTTTTTAAGTTAAAATAAATGAAACAGGTTAACTTTTGCGTCACCCGGTATATTGGTATGTTATACTTAATGCTTTTGGAATGGTTATAGAGGTGTGATATACTTTTTCAGGTATTTTGTGTCTGATGTGTGTAAGAGCTTTATTATTGGGTTTATCTCTCTTGGTGAGGCCTTATATCTTATGTGTCCTATAACCCTCTGTAATTGCAGATTATTGCATACATTCTAATTGTATTTTTTTGTTGGGGTCCGAAGATGCAAATGGTACCATTTCAGACTTATCACAACCCATATTGTGGCCGTTGGCAGCGAACTAGAATACGACTAGAAACTGTCAATCATACGTTATCGAGGGAAAGGATGAAAGTTCCATAACAAGCAACAGTTGTTTTGATGCAATTATCGCCTTATTGGCAAGTTTTTACATCAGACTAACGCGTTCCAAAGAATTTTGAACAATTCCAAACTTGTGATTTTCTGCACAGATTGAGGAAATTAACAAAAAGTCGCAGACTCGTCAAGGAAATTCGCTTTTTTTGGCAGACACAATTTGACTGTCTGCACAAATACCCTTTTTATATCAAGTCAATGCAAGATTCCACTAAAAACAGTATATACGCCAAAAGTATTTATAGTAGTGTCTGAAATTAAAACTCCCCTATATCTTGCTTCCAAATCTAAGAGAGTCTGAAATTCAGACACCCTTATAACTTGCTTCCAAGTATAAGGATGTCTGAAATTCAGACACCTCTATATACAGTATATTGCATCCAAATATAAGGGTGTCTGAACTTCAGACACCGCTATATCATGCTTCCAAATAAAAGGTGTCTGAAATTCAGACACTCCTATATATATTGCATCCAAATATAAGGGTGTCTGAATTTCAGACACCCCTATATTTGGATGCAATTAGAGTTGCTGGCAATACAGAATAAATAACTGATGCAAAATATAGGGATATATAACTGACATTCAGATTACCTTAATCTTTCTAATACAAAAGTCAACGCGTTCCAAACTAAAATGGGATTTTCAATTATATTTTTCTCCGTTAGTAAAGGTCTTTTTCCAAAAAGTGGGTCATTGCATTTTTTCTTTCCCAATGAGCAAAATATATATACTGTCCGCAACTGCAACTTCTAATCAAATTTGGAACTTATAACCGTCCGCAATGAATCTAAATTTGATGCAGTGAGTTTAATTTTGATTCTAACTTTTTTACCTTTAAAATAGAAATTATTTTGAGAACTATAGTATGCCTAAAGTAGCCGCATCAGCTAAATTTGTTGTAAATTGAAAATTATGACGGCCTAAAATTTCTGAGTATATAGAGTACAGATATGGGTTTCCACTTCGTTCAGCTGATCAGTTGGGTATGAAAGCCTAAAATACCAGGTCAGTTTGTTAGAAAATGCAAACTATTATTACATATAATTGTTTCACAACTGAGATGGAACTACGATGGACTACAAATTAATAATTGTTTGTACAGTAGTTTTCACAGGACGAAATCCATACCTTTTTTGACCTTTACAGATTGGGTAAATCTGCTAAAGGTATCTTTAAACGTATACAACTGTGTTTAAAGCCATTAAAGGTGTGTTCGAACTTTATCGACATTTAATACTTGTTTAAATACATCTTTAATCATGACATGCCTTTAGTTACCTTTACAAAAACAATTAAAGCTTGATAAAGCCACATCATACTTTACTCAAGTTTATATGTGATCTTTAAAGTTGATTAAAGAAATCCATACCTTTTTTGACCTTTACACATTAGGTTAAATCTGCTAAAGGTATGTTTAAACATACAAAATTGTGTTTAAAGGCATTAAAGGTATGTTCGCACTTTATCGACATTTAATACTTGTTTAAATACATCTTTAATCATGATATACCTTTAGTTGCCTTTATAAAACAATTAAATCTTGATAAAGCCACATTATAATGTACTTTACTCAAGTTTCGAGTAAAATGTGTTAAAAGGTAAAATGTCGGCCATAAACGTCATTGTTACCATATATAACAATGGTAACGATATCATTTTTGTAAACAATTTTCAACTCTTGGACGATTGCTCAATATAT